AGGTCCCTGAGGCTGGCCAGCTGCCCAAAGCCATTCGGAAGCGACCAAAATGGGGCATTTGGAAACGTTCAGCTCATAAAGTCCGAAAGGCGAGTGAGGGAATTAGGGAGAAAAACTAAGGGCAGAGCACTTGGCCAGGTTCAGCTTCTGCAATCTGGTCAAAGCACCAATGTTAACCGGAAGGGAAGCCAATTTTGGAGCATGGATTTCAATAGACATTTGCTGCTGAAGCTCTTTAATGGTTGCAGATACCTCCCTCAGCTTTGGAGCCAAATCAATGTGCAGCTGCCGCAACTCATGCAAACCCAACCCCACATAATCTGGAAGCCTCTCCAAGCTTTCAGCTCTCACAATTGTGAAGGCACGGAGGTGAGACAGAGATGCCAAGGGGAATGACAGCTCCTTCAGTTCTTTCACCAATACCAGCTCCAACCGTGTCAGATGAGATAAGCTTCTGGTGATACCCTCACGAAAAGCGCCTTCCGTCCTTAAGCACACTTCCCTGAGCTTGGGCAGCATGATGACGGTTGGTGGAGGGATGGTATCCTCGTAGACGTCCATGGTAAGAAGCTCAACGGAATGCGGCAGGGTTATTGGAGCTTCTTCCATACAGCAGCATCCTCTGACCTCCAACTCCTTCAGCTTCGCAAGGCTGCCGAGATTCATGAGAATGCAGTGCTGCCTTACAATCCACGGATTTTCAAGGTTTGTCAGGGTGGTGATGGACTACGGAAGAAACCGCATGCGTTCACACCTATTGAATCAAAGCTCTTGAAGGTTTTGCAGCTCACTTATCTCCTCTGGAAGCTCAGAGATCACGGTATCACTGAATTCAAGCTGCTTCAGTGAAGACAACAGAGTTAATGAAGATGGCAATAGCTCCTGTTCGCGGTTAGAAATCAGATGAAAGCTCTCGAGGTTAGTCAGCCCTCCGATGTCATCAGGAAGCTTCAGTTCTAGCAATCCCGCGACGCACAGGGACTTGAGTGTTTTGAGGCCACCGAAACCAGCAGGCAACTGGCAGATCTCCTTGCATTCAACCACACACAGGGCTTCCAAGGACGGGAGTCAGCCGAAGCATCGCGGACGACTCGAGAACTCGGACTTGTGCAGCACCAATGTCTTCAGAGCGGTCAGCTTGTCGAAATCCTCACGCAAGTTCATGCATCTGTAGTTGTAGAAAATGAGGCTCCAGCTGAGTGCACTTTCAGAACAATTCGTCCAACCCATCTGTGGTCGCGGGTGCAGATCCATTCTGTCATCATAATATTCCGCGTCATCACGGTCATCACATCCAGAATCCATTCCGTCATCATGTCCTGCGGGTCCATTGTTGTGCCTGGTATTCCTCCCCACGTGAAGAAATCGCAGTCTCGGACATGAAGACGCGAGGTGAGAGAGAACGGAGTTGGTAAGAGTCTCCACGCTGCCTTCTCTTAGGTGCAAACTTGTCAGATTCGAGAAGCATCTTACGGCGTTGGTGAGATCCTTACGAAAAACGTCGTCGCGCACTTTTTGGACAACCAGCGTTGAGACTTGCCGCTGAGGGAGGTGACACCATCGACCGCAGACGGACGCGACCAGAAGGTTGTAAGCGACGTCCGTCGAGGCTGACGGAACATCTCGTTCTTGACTAAACAACTCTTTAGGGTTTGCGTAGATATGCTTTGGCCTTGGCCACACGGAGGACCACGAAACGCCATGATCGGATTGGGTGGAAGTGTGCTGCTTGGAATACCAGAGTATCCTGACAAGAAGATCGTCAGGTAGGCTGTTGATAGGCGTGCGGGCCGTCATCTGAAGTTGAAAGCGCTTAAGGTGAAACGACAGAACGTTACACGAAGAAATAGGCTGATAAAAATGCCGCGCGCCTTGGTTTAGACATGTGTGGTGGCTTCTGAGAGAACTACCTGCACGCTTATCACGCTGATCAGCAACGACTAGCAGGAGTCAAGGTTGGAGAACCGTGTTTCCTCTGATCCTCAATTTCTGATGAGCTTGGGCTCCCGCTGATCTCAAGGCCTTACCTTTGGGGAGGAGGGGAGGGCTGATGACGATCGGGCCTCTAGAAGTCAGGGAAATTCCACTGCTTTGTCCAGGAAAACAGGGTGAAATTTCGAACTAGCCCTGCTTTTGGCGCATTCAGAAGATCGATACCCGTCCATGGACAGGCAGGCCAAAATCATCCCACGGCCGATTTTCGAGTAGGGGATGGACTCACCTTGTAAAATCTAATGTAAACGTTCGTAACCCCAGAAAAAATGGCTCTCCATGTCATTGTCAGGAGTGTCACATTCCGAGCTTGTCCAAACTCTGGCCTACAAAAAAAGTCAAAAGTTTTAGGGCTACCCAGCCTAGATGAGTTGGATCTCGGGCAAACTCGGATTCTGCAGGGTGACCCCTAGGTTACTCAGAGGCCTGATGACGATGGGTTTAGTTCAGCATTGGCGGATATGATCGCCGTTGCACGTTGGCAAAGTCCATCGGCTTTGGCCGGAGTGAAGGTCTTGGCGGGAGGACGTTTTAGGAGGGAATGACAAAAAAGTTGCCTTTCGTGTCTTGAATTCATTAAGGGAGTAGAATATCCGCGTCACCCCCTGCTCGAGCACGACCCCAATTCTTTCAGGAGTGAAAATTGACCAGGTCGTGTTTACACTGCGTATACTGCATTAGCTTGACCTTTTGTGACATATGGAAAAAAAAACCAAAACAAACAAATCCTTAGGGGCCTCGCATGGTATTCTGGGTGGCATCAACCCTCGCGCATATTCCGCGAGTTTAGGGTTGATGCCATCCGAAACAGCATGCGGGCCCCTATGGATTTTTTCCCCCCTCTCAAATTTTAACAGCTGTCGAATTGGCAGCAACCTAGAAGAATTTGGTGAAAGGCAGGAAAGTGTAAATACTATCTGGTTGTTTTTTTTCACTCCATAAGGAACTGAGAACGCGCTCGAGCAGGGAGACGCGGATATGCTGCCCCCAAAGGATTTCAAGTCACGAAATGCAAACTTTTTGTCATTCCCTCACATTTTAGCCTCAAAGTATCCCAGGAGGTTCGTGCAAAATGTCCAGCCAATGCGAGGAAATCGCGCGCTTTGATGAAGATCAAGAGTGGTTCAAAACGGTCGACCCTTTTTGCGCGCGATGTATGGCATGCCCCCGTTACCCGAAACGGTCGACCCCTCCCCGACTGTACCCGTTTTCGTGTTGGGTTCAGATGCCACTACGTTTTTTCGAGGCAACTGGTCTGGGCAGCATGTGTAGGGTCCAATAAGGAGTAATACGACAAACAATGAAGGCACATTAAAGCGAGGATCTCAAGAAGCACGAAATCAAATCCAAAAGGTTTGGAATCGGGTTGGCGAAATGAGCGAAACAGTAACACCTGCCCCCTAACACCCCTCAGTACACCTCGCAATTTCCGCGACCCCTCGAAACCAAAACCTTTGGGTTTGGTTTTCTGCTTCTTGAGATCCTCGCTTTAAGGGCTGCGGCATTCGAAAAAGGCATGCGCAATCATTTTGGGCACAACGTTCGGGTGAGGTTTTCGCTGAACTCGGATTCCAATGGGGGATTTTTTTCCAAAAACAGGGTTTGAACCCGGATTGTGACGGGTGAATTTTGGCAGGATTGGCCGTGAAACCCGGATTTGACGGGTGAATTTTGACGGAACAGAGTGCCGAACACGGAGTCTGACGGGTAGCTTTGGCCAGATACCCGGATCTGACGGGTGCCCCCAAAACCAAACGTAAGCCCCGAAACTTGCGCTTGGATTTTTGTCAGATTTTGAATGCATGTTCGCGCAACAATTGAATTGGGATCCGGCAAATGTTTTTACACAGACCCAAAATTACATTTCCAATATTCGGCACATCAAAACGAAAACGGGAACAGTCGGGGGGAGGGGGGGGGGGGGTCGACCGTTTTGGGTAACGGGGGCATGTCATATATCGCGCGCAAAAAGGGTCGACCATTTGGAACCATTCTTGATTTTCGTCGAAGCGCGCGATTTCCTCAGTGAATGCTTAACTTTTAGAACCTGATCGGTAGGCTGTCATTCCAGAATACAGAATGCGGAATATGGAATCCGCTGAAAGCTTTCCGCATTCCGTGCGTTGACTCGCCGGGTTAGGTTGTGCAAGAAGTTGGGCTGGTTTATGTGCGAAATTGCATGATGTAACTGATGCGTCTGATCTGACGAATTACCAAACTTGCCCGCCACGATCTTGGTCACGAAAAAACAAAAGGGAGGGGGGACACATGGCTTCAAATTGTGCTGTCAAATCTTGCACGCCGAACGAATCACCCAGCAGAAACGGCTGCAGATAGGAATCGCGCAATAGCCAGCTACGATAGCCTAGCAGTTATGTGCCTCTACTTAGCTTATCCAGGCTGCTGCCAATTTTGATCCACTGCGATTATATATCCCTGAATTTGTTTTCTTGGGGGTCAGACACGGGCTGGTAGTGGGTATTCGACGTTTTCCTTTTCCGAACAAAGGGCATTAGTTATTGCGTTTGGATTGCCCCACTCTTCTCTATTCCCAGCTATTCTTGCAAAAAAACTGGAATTCACATCGACCGGCTTTTGGCACGATTTCGCCCGAGTCAGCAGCTAGGTGCCCTTTCCTCATTCCGTATTCCAGCCTTCCCTATTCTGGTGATCGGTAAGAAAAGGGGGAAGTATTTGGGTGCTTCAAGGAATGGAAGGCGGAAGCAGAGAGGCAAAGCGGGAAGAAGCTGAAAGTCTTAAGGACGGATAATGGAGGGGACTTCATGAGTAAAGATTTCTGCAACTACTTGAAGAGCAAGGGGATAAGGAGGCAGCTGACTGTACCCTATACCCCACAGCACAATAGTATCGCAAAGAGGGTTAATAGATCTCTACTGGACAACGTAAGGAGCATGCTAGCTGACAGCGGGTTACCGTTGAGCTTTAGGGAGATGCACTAGGGATGGCTTGCTGGGCAAAGAACCGCTTGCCTACAAAGGGGCTTGCAG